AAAAAAAAAAAAAAAAAAAAAGAAGTCTCTAAACCAGCACGGGGAAACACCAGTTGTGTAATCTACTGTAGAGTCTTGACTGTGAGGATATGTACATAAATCTCCAAGATGGGGAAATTGTGAGCATTGTTTGCCAAACATTTAACCATGAAATCAACCGCCCACTTTTGTTTTCCAAGACATCTCATGAGATAATATTCCACAAAATGCACTTGGGAAACTGTGCTCATTCTAAACCAGTGGCTCTCAACTCAGGATGATTTGCTCCTCAGGGGACATTTGGCAACATCTGGAGATATTTTTCATAGACTGGGAGGGTGCTATTGGTATCTAGCAGGTGGAGAACAGGGAGGCTGCTAACCGTCCTATAATATACAGGACAGCCCCTGCAGCAAAGAATTATCTGGCCCAAAATATCAGTAATGTGGAGGTTGAGAAACCCTGGTCTAAACTGGTGTTTCCGAAACTTCCTGTATGAGAATTACCTGGGATCTTTGTTAAAATGTTCAGTTTTCCAGACTCCTCCCCCCAGAGATTCAAACTCACTACATCTAGGATAGGGTCGTCAACAAGAGTCCCAGAGGATTCTTATAAGGGAAATTGGGGCAAGTGTTCTTAATTCATCTCAGGTCAGCTGGAGAATAGATAAAATAAGCTTAGTAATAAAATAAGCTTTGTTTAAGGCAGTGGTTCTCAAACTTGAGCTTGCATCAGAATCCCCTGGAGAACTTTAAAACAGACTGCTGGGTACCAGTTCTGGAGTTTCTGATTCAGCAGGTCAACTGTGGGTCCCAAGAATTTGCATTTCTAACAAGTTCCTAAGGGATGCTGATGTGGCTGGTCGGGGGGCCTCACTTTGAGAACCACTGATTTAAGAAATTCCTTCTCTTGCAGGTGGAGATGCTTCCATCATTCCCATGCTTGAGTCTGAAGATCAGCCTTGCTGTCCTGTCAATAGAAACTGGGCCAATAACCCATCAGTAGAAGCCAGTGGTAACCTGGAAGCTCCTGAAGATAAAAGGAAATGTGAAGAGCCAGATGGTCCTGTGACCAAAAAGATGAGGCTTGAGCTTGGGACTCCTGACGGTGTGGCTCACCATCAGAGTTTTGGCAATCAGGAAAGCGGCCCAGTCCCTCCAAGTGTCAGCAGCTATAATCTCACCACAGAGGAACTGTCCCCTGTCACTGGAATGGCCCCCGGTGGTGCCAAAGTGGTGGATGTTTATAGAACTGGAGCCAAGTGTGTGCCGGGAGAAGCTGAAGACTCAGGGAAGCCTGGTGCTGCATATCACCGGGTGGGGCTGCTCCGAGTGAAGCCAGGCCGGGGAGACAGGACTTGCTCGATGTCCTGCAGTGACAAATTGGCACGGTGGAATGTCCTCGGATGCCAAGGGGCACTGTTGATGCACTTCCTAGAAGAGCCTGTCTACCTGTCAGCCGTGGTCATTGGGAAGTGCCCGTACAGCCAGGAGGCCATGCAGAGAGCTCTGATTGGGAGGTGAGAGGGCAGGGAGGGAGGGCTTAACTGGAACAGCCTTTCTCAGAAGCAGTCTGAGAGTATGTCCAAAGAGCCTTAAAAATATCGATGCATTTTGATTCAGCAGTTCCACTGCTAGGAATTTGTCCTAAGGAAATAATTAAGAAAGTGCTCAAACATTTAGCTTTGTGTATAGTCATTTTAAAAAAAGAAGGAAACAACTGAAATGGTTAGCAATAGGAGATTTTTCCTAAAAATAGTATTGATGAATATTTAACATGGAAAGATGCTCATGATGTTTGAAGAGCAATTTCGAAGATAAAATGAACTCATTTTGGTCTTAAAGTATATATGCACATAGAAAAAATTGTAGGAGGATATACACCAAGGTATTAATATGATTGCCTCAGAGTTGTGGTATTATGGGTGGTTTTTTCCTTCTTGTGATTATTATATTTTCTAATTTTCCTACAGTGTACATATATTGCTATTATAATTTTTAAAAACCTTATAACAGTAGTTTTAATTTTAAAAAAGTTAAAAACAAAGGATGACCACTCAAGTGTGGTCTCCCTAGAGAAGGCAGCCAACCTGATGAATGCTGTAGTAATTGAGGGCAGAATGAAGCCAAGGGAAGGGGCCCATATCAAATGTACTTTTCCTGACGCCAGCTCCAGGAAGCAGCCCCAGGATAATACCCAGTAGTTCCACTCCTGGGTACATACCCAAGAGAAATGAAAACATCCACATGAAAACTTGTACGTGAATTTTTATGACAGCATTAGTCACAATAGCCAAAAAGTGAAACAACCAAAATGTCCATCAGCTGGTGAATGGATAAACAAAAGGCGGTAGATCTATACAATGGAATATTCCTCAGCCACAAAAAGGAATGAAGGACATGGGTGTGGCATGGATACATGCTACAACATGGATGAACCTTGAAATCATTATGCTAAGTGAAAGAAGCTACATATTATATGATTTCATGTAGTGAAATGTCCAAAATAGGCAAGTCCATAGAGACAGAAAGTAGATTAGTGGTTGCCAGGAGCTGGAGAAGGGGATGGGGAGTGACTGTTAATAGGTATGTGGTGTCTTTTTGGGGTGATGAAAATGTTATAAACTTAGATGATGGTGATGGTTGCACAATTCTATGATTATACTAAAAAACCATTGAATGATATACTTTAAGTGGGTGAATTTTATGGTATATAAACTATATCCCAATAAAGATGTTAGGGGGAGGAAAAAAGCAACCTTAGGCACTGTGCCCACGATGTTTTCTGTGTTTTCCCTGTTCTGTGGCTTTAAGTTGCTGTGTGCTCAGTTTTGGACCAGAGTCATTGGCATCTAGTCTGTGTGAAAGATACAAGAGGAAAAAATGAAGTTTTTATATTATAGGATAATTTTGGTTTCGGGTGTGTTTGAAGGATTCCCTAGGAAACAGGTGCCAACAAGATAATATTTCTGCTTAAGGTTTTCAAGTCTTTCAAAGCTGGTATCAGAATGGAGTTTGGTGTTATTGAAGTCACTGAGGAGTGGTGACTCAATTCATCGAGTTATCACTTCCGAGTGGCGGGAGGGGATCTTTCTCTAGTCGTAGGTTCATATGATCTAGATTCTATTCTGTCACACCCTCCTAGACCCCCCCTATAAACACCTCCCCCCATAAATAAACAAATAAATAAATCTACACACCTCCTAAGGCCTTTGCCTCCCACTGAGACTCGGGCAGTGATGTGGTTCACAATTGTAGATACTCTTTTTCTCTAGGAGTGCACCTAAGCTGAATGCATTTTCCCTCACATTTAGGTGTCACAACATCTTGGCTTTACCCAAAGGCTTTGGAGTTCAACAAGTGAAAATACAGCAGTCAGATTTACTGTTTGAGCAGAGCCGCTGTGCAGTGCGCGAGAAAAAGGCTGACAGCCCAGGCCGCCTTGTTCCTTGTGGGGCAGGTGAGGGATCCAGGTTCCACTCGCCCTGGAGCAGCTTTTCGCCATACCGTGGAGCGGCCGGGGAGAGGCTGCATCCTCCTAGCCTTGGGAGGCAGTTTACCACCCAAGTGGTCAATAGTGTGGGCTTGGGAGACACCCACACTGGGTTAAGTTCATGCTCTCTGTGACTCTGGGCAACTTACTTACCCTCTCTTAGCCTCTTCAGATAAGAATATGGTTTATTTATCAGGGTTGTTATGAGGATTAAATGAGAAATTCTGTTTCATGCATTCACTGCGTGTCCAGCATATAATAAATGCTCAATGAGTGTTAACTATGATGATGAATCATGAATCACTTTTTATTATTGTACTCTGGAGGCCAAGGGTCAGAGTGGCAATCGTTGTCTCCGATGTCATCTCCAGCTTTCATGGGTCTGCTGAGGCAGGGAAATATTTTTATTAAAACACCTCTGGCATTTACAGAATACTGAACAGTTTTAACCCCAGAACCGTATCTTTTCTTAGCCATCAGCTGGAGTGCAGTTCCTGAGCAGCCCTTGGATGTCACTGCCAATGGCTTTCCGCAGGGAACAACAAAGAAAGGAATCAGAAGCCTTCAGGCCAGGTACAGCATATTGGGGCAGAAGGAGATGGTGGCTGTGCACTCACGTCTCACCACTGTCTAATTCCAGGACAGTTTCATCACCCGGAAAAGAAAACCCTGTACCCATAGCAGTCACTCCCCTCTCCACCCTCTCCCGCTCTAATTTACTTTCTATCTCCATGGATCTATCTATTCTGGACATTTCATATAAATGGAATCAGAAAATATGTGGCCTTTTGAATAAGGAATAGTGCTGCTGTGAACATTTGTGTACAAGCTTTTGGGTGGACATCATATGTTTTCAGTTCTCTTGGGTGTGCCCAGGAGTGGAATTGCAGCAATGTATGAGAGTTTCAGTTACCTTACATCCTTTACAACACTTGTATTGTCTGTCTTTTTTATTGTAGCCATTCTAGTGGGTATGAAGTGCTGTCTCATTGCGGTTTTGATTTTCATTTCCTAAAAGCTAATGATGTTGAGCATCTTTTTATATACTTATTAGCCCTTTGTATATCTTCTTTGGAGAAATATCTGTTCACATTCTTTGCCCATTTTCAAAATTGGTTTATTTACCTTTATTGTTGAATTGCAGGATTTCTTTTTTTTCCTTGAGGTGTAATTGACATACAACATTATATTAGTTTCAGGTGTACAACATAATGATTTGATATTCATGTATATTGTGAAATGATTACCACAATAAGTCTGGTTAACATCCATCACCACGGGCCGGCCCCATGGCTTAACGGTTAAGTGCACGCGCTCCGCTACTGGCAGCCCCCGGTTCGGATCCCGGGCACGCACCAATGCACCGCTTCTCCAGCCATGCTGAGGCCGCGTCCCACATACAGCAACTAGCAGGATGTGCAACTATGACATACAACTATCTACTGGGGCTTTGGGGGGAAAAAAAAAAAAAGGAGGAAGATTGGCAATAGATGTTAGC